CTGGGCACTGAGGGCTGTGTGTGACACCGGGGCAGCAGCACTTTGCAAACAGGCCCTGTTTGTGTCTGTCAGCACCAGGAGATCCCAACAAGGGCTTTGGATTTGGGGAACGTGCTTTTGGAAAGACTTCTTGCTTCAGATGCAGGGAGTGCCTTGGCACTGCTGAGAGCTGCTTTGCAGAGCTGGAGAGTTATTTCCAGTAAGGACAGACATGCCCTTGATGTGCCTCCTGCACTGCCCACCCTGCTCTCAGGGCTGTTGATTCCATAGAATGCTGGGCATTATTGACCTGGGAGTTATCTGAACTCTTCAAGGACTGGGAGCTGCTCTAAGGATCAGTGTCAGCCCTGACTTGATGGGTGAAGTCCCTTCTGAGTCAGAAGTGTGTGTTGAAGAGTTCATCCCTTCTTCCACCTTCTCATAATTGTCCCTCTTGTGAGACCTCTTGCTCTCTGAAGAAGTGGTTTTGCTGCTTTATCTGGGTGCTGTTTGAAGGGGCTTTGGTTTTTGGTGGTTTGTTTTTTTTTTTTTAGAAGTGCTTAGGAATGAGCTCTGCCTTCTGTTCTTCCTTTTTGCATTAGGAATCCTTGTCCTATCCCAGATCTGAGCAGACTTGACAGCTCCTCCTTCCATCACCTCAGGTTCAGGATGGCAGTGCATGTCATCAGCATTCAGGGCCTTTGGAGTCGAGACTTGTTAGAGATCTCTGGAGAATTCCTGCTGCCACTGAGCTGTCTGTCTGGCATACAGGCAGCACTTGGAACTTGCCGTGGATCCTTTGCAGAGCTGAGGATCATGACAAATTGACTGGGGGGAAAAAAAATGCTGAGAAAAAAGCATTTAAGAGGGCAGTGGGAGTTCATGTAGCTTGGCTCTAGACACGAGGAGCAGCACATCTGCTCCTTCCACCTTCCCCTGTGAATTTGGGCACCTTAGATGGGGCAGTTGGAGCCTGTGCCAGCCTTTGGATGTCTGGATGAGTGTCTGGGTGCTGTGTGCTCTGCAGGAACACCCACAGCCACCTCGGCATTGGAGTGGGCACTTGAAGCACTCACAGCTGGACATCCCCAAACAGCACTTGGGGACAGGGGAGGGCAGGGCTGACTGCAGAGCCACTTCCTCAGAGAGCACATAAGTGGTCCCTAATTAGGGAATTCTCTCATGGCATGCTCAGAGAAAGCCCCCAGGGATGGCAATGCCTCATGTCCAGATAGAGCAGGACAGCCTGGAGTTGGAAATAGCTGTTGCTGTGCTGTGTCAGGGTGGATTGCCCAGACATGGAGTTATCAGCTGCTGAGAGCACCCTGGTGCTTCTGGGCTTTCTTCTTGGCACTCTGCAGCCTGTCACTAACCTCTTGTGGGCTCCATGAGATTGCTTCCCTCCTGGCTGTGGTGGTTTTTCTCCAGGCTGTCATTCCAGAGTGGCAGTGCCTGTGGGGCTGGTCAGGGTCTGAGGTGAAGAGCCTTTTTCAGATGGTTGCTGTTCCCAGCAGGCTCATGTGGAGCTGTGGTGTTGGATGTGCTGGATCCTTCTGGCTACTGAGCCAAAACTTCCTTTCTTCTCCGTGCCCATTGCAAATCCCATTTAGATCCAACACAAGCAATGAAGAGAAGGTGCTCTGTCTCCCCTAAGAGACATGAGGAGGCTGCATTTCTCTGAATATCCTTTGAGATCACTTTTCTGGGATATAAAAGCCTTCCAGGCTGCCCCCACCAACCTGATTTCTTGGATACTTCCCTTGAGGAACACTCTTCTCACTGAGGGGTTATCCCAGTGCAGTGCTGCTGGCAGCTGCTGCCTCAAGGTATGGGTGTAGTGAGGGCTGAACTGGCAGGAGAGACAGTTTAATTGCACAACTCCAACTTTGCAATTTCCTCCTGCTTTGATAAAAACTTTATCTGCTGTGTTTAGTGCTTCCCTGCAGCCCTGCTAGAGAATGGAGGCAGGAGAAGGGGGAGCTGGGAAAGATGCACCAACAGTTTTCTGTGCAAAAAAAGCAACTTAGACCAAATTGTAAAGCCTCAGTTAAACATTAACTGTTAATTATGGCTTTAATGCAGAGTAAAGGTGACTGTGGATATAAATGACCTGTGACCTGGCATGTTGCTCACTGTGAATTGATGGTTGGCCTTGTCATTGCAAAGGAGGAATTAAAATAGCTGGGACCAACAGGCCTGTGTGTGAACTTCAAAGGCAGCCTGTGCCTCGCTGAGTTGCTGCCAACCTGCTGTTAAGTGAAGGAAACAATCTTGGAGCAGGGTCCTGCCTGGATTGGGCTGTTCCCCTCCGTGCAGGAGCAGCAGAGGCTTTGAACCCCTTCCAGCTCCGTGTCTGCAGGGCCCTGTGGTTACCCTCCACTTCTCCTCTGATTGTGGAGCCATTAGGTGGAAATGAAAGAGATGAGCTGATCAAACACTCCCTGAAATGGCTTTAGGGTTTCAGTTTGAATATTTTTTTTAATTAGCTGCATGTAAAGACTTTATTACTTCAAATAGCAGCCACGAAACCCTCTTGGTTTGATCCTTTATTTTCCTGGTGCACACGAAGCATCAGTAGCTGTAGGTTTGTACCCAGTTAGACACCCCAAACCACAGCCAACAGCCAGTGGGAACATGCAGGGATCAGCTTTGAAGTATTCCTGTTGGGAACACATGAAGGAAGTGCTGTGTGAGGATGGGATCAGACTGACAAGGAGCAGAGTGGAAGTCAGTCGCATTTTAGCAGGAGCAAGGATGCTTTAGTCTGACAACACACAGAACACTGTAGCACATCAAGGGTAAGGATTCTTTTTTTCCCCCACACTTCAAGCCTTTCTTTCCTTGTCCTGGCTGATAGAACTTAATGCTGTGAACTGGAGAAACGATTTAAGCATTTTTCTCTCTGATTCATTTTCAAAGAGAAGAGATCAGCTGAAGTGTCCTCCAGTCGTTTTCCTTCTTTAGAAACTTCTTTTCCCCCTTCTCCTGCTCAGAGGAGACACTGGAAAGTGCTGCCAGCCTGAACTGGCTCTGGGTATCTTATATGTCAGGAACATCATGTACCCCTAGTTTTGGAAGGTTTGGCAGTAAAAGGAGCCTGTGAAATGAGGCTCTTGGTGAGTGTGGGTGAACCAGGATGGTGACTCTGCCCCAAATCCCAGTTTGTGCAAGGCTGGAAATCTTCGCTCCTGTGTTTCTGGCAGCCTTGAAAGTTCCTCTACTCTTTTGTGCTTTTATTATCCCAAACTTTAAATTGGGGACAGCCCTTGAGAGAGGCACATTGTGCTGATTCAGGCTCAGTTTTCTGGCAGGGTGGCCCTTGAGTCACGGGTTCCGTGTGGCTCCGAGCACAGGGACTGACAATCCCGACAATCCCGGCTCCTCTTGGGGTCAGCAGAGGGAGATGAGTCACTGGGGTGAGCAGGAGGCTGGGCTGGAGACTCCTGATGTTCCTCACAGCCCTAATTATCCAGTGATCCTGTGGTGCCTTTCAGGGATGTACAATGAACGAGGTGTGGATTCTGAGCATCATGTGATGCTTCATCTTCTCATCCTTCACTCTGTAAAGTGACTGTTTCCCTCACAATTCCTGCTTTTTTTGCCTCCTGGTTAGCAGCCTGTAAGTTGATATCCTCTAAGGGACAAGCTTCCTTATTTTGCTACCAGTAATTTGATTTCCATGTGCAGGCATGGCCGGTGCAGCTGGGCTGGCTGAGCCAGGGTGCTGGAAAAGTATAAAAATGGGTTTGGGCTCCTGGTATTCCTGAGCTCTTGGATGGGATCCTTTGACCCTCAGAGCTGCTGCAGGATACACAGAAGGGGTTATCCTGGGGAAAGGTTTCCAAGGATTTTCCTGATTTTTGTCTGTTCAGTCTTTGCTGTTTATCCTATGGATGACAGAGGGACAAGGCTGATGTTTCCTCAGTGATTTGGTACCATTTTTACTGATAAATCAGGGAAGTACCCCCTGTATCATTATTTCTTCATTGGTACCTCAGAGGTGCCACTGGCAGCAACACCACAAGCAGCAGGATGTGACACCAGGCACAGGAGAAGGTGCTGGGTCTGAGGGCCAGGGAGGGGAAGGTCCTGGCTCTGCAGGAGCAGGGGGAAGGTGTGGCTGGGAGAGGCTTTGAAGGAGCAGATGAGTTTTTGGCAGCGAGGTCAGTAGAGCCATTAGAAGGTGAGGCAGGAGAGCCAAGTCCTGATCAGTGACCCAAAAGGTTCCCCTTTGAAATTCAGAGCTGGGAAAGGAGGAATCACAGGATAGAAACACACCTGGTTCTTATCCAGAGAAAGCTGATGCTGCACAATGTGCTGGTTTCCTTCTGGAAAAGGAGGGAGGGATGGGGTGGGGGCTGAGATGAGAGAAAAGGGCTTAGCTGGATATGGAATCTGCCATTTCTCCATGTGTGCCAGGACTCCAGGACTGGTGAGGACCCAACTGTAAGTGGGAGCAATGGGTTGAGGGCAGGTAACAACACCCAAAGCACTGGGGATGCTCTGTGATCCATCCCAGACCTCCCAGTGCTCCTGTCCTGCACCAGGAAGGAGCTGGGAGCAGGGAAACATCGGGAGAAACAATAGGAAAATGAGATGAAGAGAACAATGAATCTTCTGGGAGACACAGGACTGTCTCCAAAGGCAAAGAGTGAGTATCCAGGCTTTGGTTTCCCAGAACAGAAGTGGAAAAGCACAAGTGATGGGAAGCATGGATTGCCCCTGTGTAGGAAAGGGGGTGGCCTGAAGAGTTCTCTGGGGCTTCCCTGAGCTGGGCTGGCCACTTTTGAGCTCTTGTCACTTAATACTCAGTTTTATCCAAGTCCTCCACGAGGAAGTTGAATGGATTTTATGAGGATTTCCCTGTGCCTGTTTCACCTGTGTTAATCCAGAGAATTCCAGGTGTTTCTTTCAGGGCCAGTGGAGCTGTGCTGGTAACCACGGACCATTTAATTCTGAAATGGATTAAACTGTGCAGGTGATGTCTGGGACACACTGACTGTGATGTTTTGTCATCCTAGGACCTTTCCAGCTGCCCAGCCCTTGGACAGGAGGGAGACCCACCTGGGGGCACGTGGAGATTCCAGCATCACATGTTTTGGGAAAAGGAGCAGGAGCCCTGTCTGCTTTGAGAGATGAAGTGAAAGTTCCGATTTTTGTACACAAACTGATTTTCCTGAAGTTGGGTTTGTTTGCCATGTTTTGAGACATTTTCCAGAAGAATTAAGTCCTGCTGTCAGAGAGAGGACAGTGTTCCTTCTCTCTGCTTGAAGAAAACTCTTCCCTGACATCCTACCTCCTGCAGGTTCCAGGCTGCTTTTAGGGAATCAGTAAGTGGGAGGAGGATGCCGTGAAGTTTTGTGTTTGCACAGGCTGTTCTTTAAAAACTTACGTTTGATATTTTTGTTCTGAGAAAATAAACCAACCTGAGCATTAAGGCTGTGCCAGTTTATTGTGCAAGAGGGATTAATGCCTGAAAGGAGCTGGAATTTGGGAATGGGGTCTGGTTTGTTGCTGCAGAGCTGACTCCCTTTGTGGGCAGCAGCGTGTTGTGCTCTTTGTTTTGGCTGGATGTTCCTGTGAGTGTTGGTGCTAAATTTAAAATTGCTGAAGAATGCCAGATTTGTCCCCTGCACATCCTGTGACTCCTCCAGCTTCCCTGGAGTTGGGTTCTTTGGGAGCAAATTCTGCTGTGTGCTCATGTGGGGGTGAGGCTGGAATTGAATAAATGCAGAGCCAAAGATGCTCCAAGGGCTGGAGCCCCTCTGCTCTGGAACCAGGCTGGGAGAGCTGGGGGTGTTCACCTGGAGAAGAGAAGGCTCTGGGGAAACCTTAGAGCTCCTTCCAGTCCCTAATGGGGCTCCAGGAGAGCTGGAGAGGGACTTGGGACAAGAGAGGGAGGGACAGGACAAGGGGAATGGCTTCCTACTGCCAGAGGGCAGGGAGAGATGGGATATTGGGAAGGAATTCTTGGCTGTGAGGGTGGTGAGGCCCTGGCACAGGTTGCCCAGAGAAACTGTGGCTGTCCCATCCCTGGAAGTGTCCCAGGCCAGGTTGGACGGGGCTTGGAGCAACCTGGAATAGTGGAAGGTGTCCCTGCCCATGGCAGGGGGTGGGACTGGATGGGCTTTAAGGTCCCTTCCAGCCCAAACCATTCTGGGATCCTGTGAATTCCACAGCAGGGGCTTCCCAGCTGTTCACCTGTCCCGGGTGCTCTTATCTGTCCACTTGTCCCTGCTTTTTTCCAGGAGGGTCTAAAACTGATCCCCCCAGTCAGTCCCGGTTTGTGTTGCCAAGCCCTTTCCCGGCCCGACACTAGATGGCAATGCCTCCTTCCCAATGCTTCTCCAAAGGCCGGTGATCGGGATTCCTTTCTGATGGGCTTTAAATCTGGATATTGGTGTGTTTCTGCACCAGTTGTCCCGATAATTTTACTTGGGAGCTGATGCCTCTTCCCTAAAAGAAGTGGAGAAACTTTTCCTGGGATAAGACATAAACACAGAAGCTTTTCCAGCAGGAACCAGTGCCTGTCGTGGAGCTCCCTGCCATGGGCTGTGCTGGCACTTCCCTGCCAGCCCTTGGGATGATCAAGTGTGGGCAGCTGGATCCATGAGTGGAAACTTGGCACATCCCTGTCCACCGATGACCTTGGAAAGGCAGCACCTCCTGCTCCCCACACTGGGGACCAAACCCAGCGGGGAAGGCGTTTCATCTGCTAAATCTGACCTGCAGGACTGTGGGTGGGTGGTGGGGCTGCTGTGGCACACTGAGGAGCTTTCTAAGCCTCTGGAAGGTCTTCTCCAGTCCTCCTGCCAGTGGCAGAGAACAGCAGCCACTTCCCTGTCACTCAGCCCATGCTGGTGACTTGTACTTGATCCAAGGTCCCTCTCCAGGTTAATGGGTAGTTTGCTGCTATCTGACACTTCCCATGGTGAACTAGACCCTGCTGAAGTGCATTTTTCCACTTTTCCTTACCAAATTATGGCCAAAAATTACTTTCCTGAGCTTTATTTAATTAATTTTGTTGTTGTTGTTATTAAAGGAAGAAATACAATCTTTCAGCCTCTGGGCAAAATCAAAGGTGTGTTTGGACCTGACTTGGCATTAAAACAGAAATACAAATCCTTAACTTAAAGAGACAAAAATCTCTACAGAGAACCACACTTTCTGGTGGGTAGTCAAAAAACACAGGCTTGGAGAAGTTTCCTACTGGAATTTTTGATTTTGGCCAAAATGCCTCCCCTTCCCCCCCCATATCAAATACTTTTTGACAAACACCCTCAGTGTGTTCCCTGGAGAAGCTGCTCTGAAGGTTGGTCCCAGCTCAGCAGTGCTCTTGTATTTCCAGTTTGGGTTTATCAAATGTCAACCTCCAGCTCCAGGTTTGCTCAATTCCAGGATTATCTGATCTCGGGTGATGTTTTCCTGGTGTGGGTGTTTGCCCAGACCTGAGGTGTTGTGTCCCCTCAACCCATTGATCTGGCTCCTTTGGGGCTGCGTGGGGTGTGAATCACAGCCCCTGTGTGTCACCTGTGGGTGCTCCTGTGTCACCTCTGCGTCTCCCAGCCTGTTGTCCCCACACCACTGAGCCCCCAAGGACACGATGAGGGCAGTGAGACCCCACTCTGTGCCCGTCCCCTCTGCTGGCAGCTGGCACAGAAACCCTGGGGAGCCTTGGTGGGTGTCCCTGTCCCCCCCACAGCGTGGGCTGTGCTCTGCTGGGGACAAGGGTGAGCTGAGACCACTGGCAGGTAAGCAAAATGTGGGATGGCAGAGCTAAAGCTGGGCTGAGACATCCAGGGCACGTGGAATGGGGATGCTGGAAGGTGCCCCAGGTTGTTTCACTTCCTGTCTGGTCACACGTCTCCTTCCCCAGCCTGGGGGTGCTGCAGTGGGAGATGCAGCTTCCACCCCTCCAAACCTTCCTGCCACGTGTGGGGATGTTGGTCCTGTCAGCTCTGCCTGGGTGGGTGCTCAGGACCCTCTGCCAAGCCTGGAACAATCCTGCTGATCCCAGGGGCCTGGAGGCTTGGCCACCCTCCCTCCATCATCCCTGTGCTGCTGTCAGGGCAGAGGGGAGGCAGAACCGGTGGCTGCAAGCAGAGATTGAGGATCCCTGTGGTGCTGGAGCCCCTCAAGTCACTGGGAACCCCATTCCCCTGGGTCAGAACAGGAACCAAGGACCCCAGGGGCACTGGAGCCCTCGGGCTGAGACAGGAACTGAGGACCCCCATAGCACTGAAGCCCCTGTGCTGGCACAAGGACCAAGGACCCCCACGGCACTTGAGCCCCTTGAGTCACCAGTCCCCTCGTTCTGCCAGGCAGGGACAGAGACCAAGGACCCCTATGGCACTGGAGCCCCCGAGCTGGGACAAGAACAGAGGACCCCCATGGCACTGGAGCCCCTTGAGTCACAGGGCACCCCTTACCCCTGGGTCAGGACAGGGACCAAGGATCCCCTTGGCACTGGAGCCCCCAGGGGGGACGGGGACAAAAGGCCCCTGTGGTGCAGGAGCCCCTTGAGTCACCAGGCACCACATTCCCCTGGGTAGGGACAGGGACCAAGGACCCTCTTGGCACTGGAGCCCGCGGGGTAGGACAGGCACTGAGAACCCCCCTGGTGCTGAAGCCCCTGTTCCCCCGGGACAGCACCGGGGACTCCCTCACACCCCCTTATCCCGAGGGCCGGCTCTGACAGTCCTGGCAGCGGCAGCCCCTCGGTGCCGCCGGCCCGGGCCGAGCCCCGCCGGGCACGGAACGCTCCGTGCTCTGCTCCCGGCCCCGCGTTTGTGTTGGCACCGACCGGCGAGCGGGGCCGGTTTAATTGGCAGTTGTGTTTGTGGCCAGGGTGTTATGAAAAGGTTTTCTGTCTCCCTCTCTAAGTTCCCCTGAATATGTTTTCACTCTTAATATAATATTCACTTCATTATTAGCTGAAAGAGGCTCTTTTCAGAGAGGGGGTTTTTTTCCCCCCCTACTTCCAAAAATATATTAAACAACCCCTTCATGCAGCGCTGCGCTGAGGGCCGGGATTGTCTGCCGGAGGGGAAGTGAGAAACCCGACGGTAAATGGGATTTACACAGAAATTCCTTTCTTCCCCAGCGTGCCGGCGGCGCTGGCCGGGGGAGGGAGGAGGCGTCTGTTGCTTACGGGGTGTTTGGGGGTACCTCGCGTCCCCACCCAATGTGGTCACTCAGGGGATCCCCCCCAGCAGAGCAAGTGCTCCCAGAGGCTCCCGGCACCCGTTTCCAGATGCAAACCCCTCCAGCGGCGTGGGGACCCGGCCAGAGGGAATCCCGTGTGCCGGCATTCAGTGCGGGAGGTGTTTCCAGCATCTGCCAGGTTTTGGGAGCTTGTTCTCTGCTGGGTGGATGTTGGGACATCCCGGGGCTGGGTCAGGCTGGTGCTGTCCGTGGGCTCGTGCCATTCCAGCCCTGGCTCCGGGAGCTTTTGGGATGCCCGGAGGCAGCCGGTCAGAGCAGGGGGGACATTGGCCGGACAGAAGGGAGCCTGGGCTGGCACTTGCAGTGGTGCTGAGGAGCACTGGGGTCCCTGGGGACTCCCAGATCCCTCTTCCATACGTCGAGGAGCTGCCGTGAAAGCCCAGAGGAGCCCGGAGCAGGTTTTCTTTCACTGAAAGCAGGGTAAACACAAATCCCCCCTCCCCACTCTACACCCCACCCCCCGTAGGACCCTTCCCCCGCTCCGCTGCCACCATTCCCGGCCATCCTGCGAAACGCATTAGGGCCGGTGCCACTCGCTGATGAGTATCCAAGGTCTGTCGCTAGCCGGGAACAATTAGCAGTTGTTTTGAAACGTCTGTTTGCTGTGGCTCCGGGACCGATACGAGCACCCCTTTCGGAGCCCGGACCGCGGCCAAGGGAGCTCCCAAGGGATGACACAGCTCTCAGTTAAGGATGCTTTTGGGATGGGTCTGGAGTGTGCACCCCCAACCCCTCAGCTGATCAAGGAAATGGGAGCTCTCTGATATTGCTGGATTTCTTTTTTTAGTTTTTGGGAAAAAAATAAAGAGCTCTTTTTCCAGGGTCTTTCTGGTCCATGCCCCACTTCCCACGAATGCGTCGTGTCCAGTGTATCCCAGTGTCTCTCCTGCCTCTCCCCCAGTGTGCAGCATTCTCTTGTGTAAAGCCAGGCAGGAATTGTCCCTGGCAGGCTGGGGGGAGAGTGAGGGGTCCAGAAAAGATAGAGAAGGTTGGGGAGTGTCACAGGCAAACGGAGACTCCCAATTTTGCAGACAGGTCTGAAAGCCGAGGGTGGGATCCTGGACCAGGTGGGGAATGAGAAGTGCTGGGAGAAAGGTGGTGATCCACCAGTGTGGTGGGGACAGGGTCAGGGTGATTCCCAGCTCTTCTACCCTTGGTGTGTCCCTGGCTCTGTGCACCCCGGGGATGCTGCATCCTGATCAG